GAAATAAGAAAAAAAATAATAATAACTAGTGCTAATTGTAACGGGAACCGTTACAGATGTTCCCCAAACGCTCCCCAAATCCCTTTTCGTGCCATATTCCCTGTAAGCTTTATTAAAAAAGGCAAACTCTATGCATTTAAGACTTTATCAACGTTTTCCCAGAAGTATACCAAGTATATTAAAATTTTAGCACAGCACGCGTGCACATGTGAATGCATATGCATAATGACGATAACATATTGTCTCCACTATTTAGAAATCTTGGATATACTAAATATTGAAGCGTTAAATCCAAAAGCATTAAAAATACGATCATTCAGGTGTATTCTTAATTTTACCAATTTCACGTGCACGCACGTGCATGCATGTGCATGATGACCATACCCTCTTGTAGGAGTCTATTATGTCTGTGTAAGGTCCAAATCCCATCCTGTTTGGTTGAAAAACAAGGGAGTTACAGCCATTTAAAGTTTAAGCCAATCAGATTGCAGCGCACGTGCATGTGCATGCATTTATGAAAATTGTTACATATCATATTGAAGGATATCCTAATGCATGCCTATGTCCAAGATTTCATAGCATTTCGTCAAAAAACGAAATAGATATTGATATTTTTGTTTCAGCCAATCAGATCAAAGCGCACGTGCACGCACGTGCATGCATGTGCATGACGACCATACCTTCTTGTAGCAGTCCATTATGTCTGTCTATGTTCTAAACCCCATCTTGTTTGGTTGAAAAACAAGGGAGATATAGCCATTTAAAGTTTAAGCCAATCAGATTGCAGCGCATGCGCATGCGCATGTTGTCATGACAATTGTTATATATCATTTTGTAGGACATCCTAAAGTATGCCTATGTTTTAAATTTCATAGCATTTTGTCAAAAAACAGAAAAGATATTGAGGTTTTTAGTTTAAGCCAATCAGAGCAAAGCGCACGTGCATGCGCGTGAGTTCGTGCTAATTTGACAGTGTCATATTATTAACACTATTAATATATCCTTATATAATGAGTTTCAAAGCATTTCATCAAAAAATGTAAAATTTATGACTATATTAAATATATCAGTCATTTCACTCATTTCACGCGCCCGCACGTGCAGGCGTATGCGCGCAAAATGACCTTCGTTCTGCACACCTACACTACACACCCATTAACCCTAAAAAGGTTTTAACTTAGTTTGGTGAACAGTTTCTGAGAACACTCGCGGACAAAAAAGTACCGGAGAACAAATAAGAAAAAAAAAAAAAATAATAATAATAATAAGAAACCGAGTAAAAACAATATGTTCCCAAACTCCGTTTGGGGAACATAATAACTAGATGCGTTCTTGTTGCTGGGGCAACAAGCAGGTCTTCCGACCGACTTCTCTTTTGCAATCTATGCTGTGTCATCCCATGGAATAGATTTCTTAATGTATTTTTTTCGTTTACGTTCATTTACAGTAGTTTCTCAACACAGATCGTGATTGGTCCAGGTATTTCAGGAAATATCTCCAAATATAGCTTTTAAAAATCGGCAAAATCTTCCACATATGATATAAAAGAGTGAAAAGTAATTTGCAACTGAAAAAAGACAAAAACAAAGAAAAAATTTTGGAAACGCCCCGAGCGGGATTCGAACCCCTGACAGTAAGACAAAGTTTGGTTCGGTCATATCTTTGCAATAAACGCACGCATGAAAAAAATGAAAACATATATAGATATCGTTGAAAACGTTCTATAAACCCTGTAAATCCGAAAGAAAAATATTGAAAAACAAAAAAGTTGAAAAATGAGACTTTTAGAATTCACTTCCGTTTGCGACCGGAAGTAGGAACGACAAAAAATGAAGGACGTTCGGCACATCTACATGTGATGCTCTTTCATGTCCATGAGTTTCAATGTCATATCTTAAGCCGTTTTCGAGAAAAGTTGTGTACAAAAATCCATTTAAAAAATACAAATTTCCCCAAAAATCGCGAATGGAAGCAAATTTTGATAAAATGAAAAACACGTCTGGAGATATTAGCCTGATGCATCTTTCCTGTAAAAATCTTTGAAATCCGTACAGACACAGCTGAGATATCGCCATAACTATGAAAAAAAAAATAATAATAATAATAGGAAACCGATGGAAAACAATAAGGTCTTCCGAAGGAAGTCGGAAGACCTTAATAATAATAATAAGAAACAGAGTAAAAACAATATGTTCCCAAACTCCGTTTGGGGAACATAATAATGGTATAAACTCTAATTTAACACTTTAAAATTTGATGCACCTAATCTTAATTGTTTTTATTTGAACACGCATTTATCGAGATATACAAAAGGATTGGAAACAAGTTTGACAACTTACAAGTTCCTCATGGGAATTAAAAACCGATTTCATAACGACATCCAAAGAAGAAAAGGATCGAACTCTACTACAAGAGACAAATACAGTTTATTCCTGGATGCAGAATATCTTATCAATAACCCAAAAAGTCTTCAGAGATGAGGGCGTAATTCTGCATACTTTTTTCCCGTATTTAAACATTCGGAGCTAAAACATGTAAATACATATAGTAAACGTGGTAAAAGAAATGTGGTATCCTTTAGGTAAAAAAAAAAAAACTTGTCGCTTTCTTTAAAAATTTGGGTACTTAAAACGTAAACTATGACAAAACTTTCTTTTTATACTGTGTATTGTATAGACTTTTGATGCCCGGGGGAGGGGGTGGTATAGGGGCTGTCTCAAACTTTTTAAAGATAACTACTTTGATAGTGTAACAGAGACAATTAAGTGCCTCTGCTTAATTGGGGTTGAACCCAAGGCCTCTGGCTTGACAGTCCAGTGCTCTACCAAATGAGCTTAAGGGTTAACCTGCTAGCACAAGCTCGTAGGAAGATGTGGTGCATGTTTAGTTTGTACTACCACAATAGGAGTTTTTCATCCAAATGTTGATTATTTCCTTTTACTGTTGCAGTGATGTAGATTTCTGCCATTTTCTTGCATTAAAAAGCCATAAATTGGAATATCTTTTAGAGGAAGAGAAGATTTTTATTTGAGTTTTGTTCTTTTTTCCCTTGTCAATCATTTCGGTGCCCCACCCCCCCTTTTCATTTTTTCAAAGATATACATGTAGTATAGAATGTATATTTTTATAAGTACATTAAAAACTCTTAATTATTGATATTTTTAAGGGAATCAAATCAAAAGTTTGAAAATACAAATATAATCAAATTATTTTATAGCTTCACATTATTTTACGATTTTACGTTATGAAAATCCATGGAGTTACGCACGCGTACACCGTAAGTCAAAGTAAATATTCCGTCTTTTTCATGCGATATTTTATACATTTATACACAGAAATATATGTCATGTTGTACATCAAATGAAAGAGAAAGAAAAACTCTATAAGAATCAATAAAAAACTGAAAATGTCAGAATTCTTCGTTAAGGGAGGTTTTTGCTTGGCGCGTCACATATAATTTGTCCTTGAAGAAAATGACAGTCACCCTACCCTCAACTCCCGGTCTTCACATGTTTGTGTCCCTAACACCATACCAATGAACACTAGAAAGGTTTTCTTATGCATTATCAATTCTGTACTTCCGTACATGATACAAGTTTAAATGTCCAAGTAAACCGTCAACTGTAGAAGTCAGTGCTTCTCGAAAAAGTCCAGTCCTCGCCCGCTGACGTCAAACACAAAGGCAGCCGCACGATATTTACATGCATAATTTACTCCTTAGCATCAGATACAGAGACAAATGCGCACGAGATTTGCATGCATATCAAGCCTTCTTAGCTCCTAACCTGTCGACCTGCCTAATTTAAATTCCGGTAGAATTATCAAGGAATCAACTCCACTATTTTTCAAACAGTTTTAACAAAGAAAAAAAATATAAATAAAAATGGACATATTTTGATTTACCAACATATTATTGCTTCCTTAATTTAGTTGTATCTAATTATAATTTTTCATGTATGATGGTGACGTAGATAAATATGAAACTTCCGAACGTTTGAATTTCATTAATCATCTACGAATTTTTTTATTACCGGCAGTTTTTTTTACGATTTAGGATTTAGAATAATCTAATAAAAATTATTTTTTCTTACAAACAAATAAAAGATAAAAAAAAATATCGACAAAACATTTAAACATGTATAATTTAGCAAGAAACAAGTTCAGCACCAGCAATCAATTCCATGTTATATTTTCAAAATGTTTTGTATAAGAAGCTGACAATATGAAAAAAACCTAAGGTAGTCCGATCCTCAGGTTTATAAAATCAGCAGTTAAGTAATCAAAAACACTCATTAAAGTATCTCTGAATACGAAAAGTTATGTTAATCTATACAGTTTTTCTTTAAAGTTAAAGATTAAAGTTAATCATATTATATAAGGAAAATTGTCAAATGTCCAATATCTTTTGTAGAAAAATTAAATTGGAGTATCAGCAATGCATTTTCTAATTGCAAATTGATCAACAAATACAACTTAGGTTAAAAAACGATAGGTATCCAGGCATTCAGAAAATCATGATTTTTATACTTATTTGGTATTTCCGTCATGTAATCTAAAATACATAGTGTAAAAGGCTTTTGCTATCATTGCAAGACATCACAAATCATTTCCCATTTCATACCATGCTAATAAGTATTGGTATCTTTGGCTTGATTCAAAAAATCTTATTTCTCTAAAACTGTATTAATTTTTTCTCCTTTTATAGGGTACAAATGTCAACTTTTATAAGACCTTTTCTAAGAATTCCAAAGACCTTGAATCATATAAAGATGAATAAAATGAAAATTGTTGCATGAAAAAATTTCATTTACAAGCTTCATTTTAATGCATTTCAAATTAAATATTGATTTTTGGAGTTATCCTTCCTGGCTGAGGATCGGATATTCCTGATAATAATACTAATTGTAATTATACAATTCATTTGTTTATTTTGAGGCATAATTTTTTTTTGGAGTGCAATCATGTTGCAAAAACACATTCTAGCTATAGCTATATTTTACCTCGTTTTCCTTTCCATTTTATTTTACGTTTGTATATTAAAGCTGCAAGAATGAGCAATACAATGACCATTGCAATAAGTAACACCGTCACAATTATCAAGGCTGAGTTGATTCTAACCGTGTTGTATGGAATCTGGATAGGTCCATCATTGTTATAATCGACCGTGCTTTTATTGTGTTGCTCTGCTGTCTTGTTTTGCATCAGACTGAAAGAAAACTTTGAACATTGTGTATTGAAAATATACGATGTATAATTAGCCTAAGTATAATTTTAAAAATAATAGTTTATTGGCTTTATCTAGGGGAGGGTTCTGGTCAAACCATATTAACTAGACAGACTGATTCTGAAGTTCACAGCAAGCTGGATTCAGCAATAAAGCCTTTTACCCCACCTCTGTTGATTTTTCCGTGAAATCCTGACTTACGATTGGTTGAACTCTGTCACATGAAGGCGGTGAATTACTTTTACCCCACCTCTGTTGATTTTTCCGTGAAATCCTGACTTACGATTGGTTGAAGTCTGTCACGTGAAGGCGGTGGATTACTTATACCCGGTCAGTTGTAAATCCATACCCGGTCAGTAAATCTATACCGGTCGATGTATTACGTCACAAACACAAACGTGACGTCATAACAGGCACAGTATAAGCACTTTGAAGCATTTATCAGAGAAAACTATTTATAAACTACAGAGAAAACGTAAATCTATATTTCATCGGTGGGGGTAAATTCGTTACATAAACATGTCATTAAAAGACTATGCAACTAATAATACCCGGGCAGTTGTAAATCTATACCCGGTCGATGTGTCACAAACACAAACTTGACGTCATAATAGGCACAGTATAAGTGCGAAAGCATTTAGCAGAGAAAACCATTTATAAACTACAAATAAAACGTAAATGTTTCATCGGTGGGGTAAATTCGTTATACAGTCTTTTAGTGACGGGGTATGGGATGATACCTGGTTAGTAAATTTCATACCTGACTCGGCTCCGCCGGGCCAGGTATGACAATTACTAACCAGGTATCATCCCATACCCTGTCACTAAAAGACTATATAACTAATAATATTATACTTTCATGTAAATTACTTGAATCTGATTCGTCGAGAAACATTTGATAAAAAACACTACCCGCTGAATAATGAAGCCACGCCCTCCTGCGTAGCAATAGTCAACATTGCTTGACGACGGGTGGTATTCCAAAAAATAGCGACTGCGCAGAATTCATGCGCGCACGGTTCACTGTAATATGTATTTGTATAAAACATTTAGTATAATATAATTATTATTGCATGTAGTTGAGTGTAACATTGAAAATTTTCACCCCTCGAAAACCATTGGCAACCCTGGCTGCGCCTCGGTTGACAATGGTTTTCTTGGGGTGAAAATTTTCAATGTTACACTCAACTACATGCAATATTTATATAAAGGCGAAAGGAAATATTTTTTGATTTTATATCGAATCGTTTATATTTTTAAGGTAACTGCTCTTTTGATGAATTTTATTGCAAAAAATAACTGCAAAAATTGTTCTATTTGTGATACTTTGTTTTAAGGATATTCGATCCTCAGCCGAGAAGAATAACTCTTAAAATGGTTATTTTTTGTAAAAAGTCTTAAAATTAAGCTTGAAATTGTAAGCTCTTAATGCAACAATATCCAGTTTGCGCATTTCAATATGATTTTTAGGAGTGTTAGAAATTGTCTTGTATATGTTCGACTTTGTACCCACCTGGAGTTCGAAAATAAGTGCATTTTCCTTAATCTAGCCTTGAACCAGTGTTTATAAGTATAATATGAAGTATGATCTGTTATGTCTTATAAAGATAGTACATATATATTATTATAACAGTAACTTGATCCGAAGGGTCGTATCACGTCGAGTTGACAGGCGCGGATCATCAGATCTAACGAGACGCGAAGCGTCGAGTTTGATCTGATGATCCGCGCCAGTCAACGAGACGTGATATGGCTCTTCATATCAAGTTACTGTTATAATGATAAATTTATTATATACCCTTTATAACTAGCGAAATATAGCAGAAGAAAACTTAAGAGATCAATTGTATAATATTTAATCATAAAACAAAGCATAATGACAAGGGACTTTTTAACGCGCAAGAAAAATAACGTCATTTTTTTGCGTACTACGTCATCAGTTTCAGAGAGTGGTGATATGGATTCAGAAAACCATAGTGTGGTGATCCGGAAAATCGGATCAAACTCTGTAAAATTAACAGTAACAAAAACAAAGAAATTGATGGGTATATAATAAAAAGGCTTCGCACGATGTATATAGAATAGAAAAAAATAAAGTGTGGAATAGGTATGAAAACATTTTTCCCTAATTAAATAACTTGATACATGTACCTTTATCAATCCTTAAGAAAAAATTTATACAGGATATTTTGATTCATATTTTCTGAAAAAAATTCCCTATATAAAATGCTCAATTTTAATGCTGTAATTTAAAGAGAAATATCGTGAGTAACGCTATATTATTTATATTAAGTCAGAGACATTTTTGTGAGCATTATTCACCAAACTTCTGATTTCGAGGAACTGAAGATCTTACTTCCTTATATGAAAAATTCAATGTAAATATAAAGAATGGATGGATCTTAGTAAAATGTATACATGAGGATTCTACCTGATATGGTAATTGTTATTATTCATAGCTTTCGTAAACATCGAGGGCAGGTTTGTTCAAAGTCTAGATTAAAATATAATGTGTACACTGTATATTATATTTATAGAGATTGTGTGAAAAAACTTTGTTGAACAACCTTGCGCTCTATATTTTCTACTCAAAAGTATCATGTACATTTACATAGGATTAATCTTGTTGATCTGCTAAGAATAGATAATATGTCACGTGATTCCATACCGTCAAAGGTAAATACCTCCGGTAAGCGTGTTTTCTGTAGGAACCAACAAATGTACCTAGTATTTAAAAGGTGCAGTAACTAGCTTTCATTTTTTTAAAAATTCAAAACAAGGTTTCCTATAGACTTGATGAATATTATTCATGTTATATTTCGATGATTTTCAGGGACATATTTTAACTCTCATACATGTAGTCGCAATTTTCCTGGGCATATATTGCGAACAGCACACGAATTAATTTATGTGTAGATGTACCTAAATACATGTACATTTTATTTCTTGTGAAAAAGGAACGAACAAGCAATACCTAAGAAGTAACAATTACTTCACATTTAATCAGTCTAAATAAACAAATGGACTATACTGACCACATCAATATTCAAAGCAACCTTACACTCTTGTCACGTTTTGGGGTGCATATAAACACAACATGTATTAACGAAATAACTTCGTGAATGTTGCAGAACAACCTCCAAGGTCAAGATATGTTGTTTAAAAGAAAAAAACCGATGCGTTAGCCGAGGCTTTTATATTTCAAACAACATTTAGAGTTTTATTAATTATAAATCTGATTGTAGCTTATATAGATTAATCTTTTTAATATATAATAACAAAACCAGTCTCCTTTTTACCACTTATCACTAAAATCACGGAGTTTAAATATGGCGTAGGGAGGTTCATGGAGCAGCCTCGCTTGGCTTTTTTCTTCAAACCCTTACCCTACCCCAAACAAGAAAACATTGATGTAATCATCAATTGTTGCCTGGGAAATAAATAACAATGGAAATGATTCTTGATCATCAAACCGCTTTGGTATGTGTGAAAAGGGCATGCGTCTAAATGATGGAGATGATAGTCGAGAATATTTTGAAAACTTCTTAGTCTTATACTGGGAGACCAATTATTATTGCATAATTGCATTATAATTTTTCTCAGGAATTGTGTTTTAAGGTTACATTGTCTCCCAGTCTTTTTTATTCAGTTTTATGTATTATATTATATGTTGTCATTTCATAATATTTTTGGAACAAACATGTCTTGTGTTATTTGGCAAAAAAAGCTCAATGTTGTCAGATGAGTGTTTTTTTCAAGGAATGAAGGCTGAACTTAAATGATATCTTATGCTAGTAAAATTGTTTCATGTATTTTATGTTAAATTGTAATTCCCCACTCTGTGCCTCATTATCCGTAAACCCTTTGGGACCCCCGGTAATTTTATTCTTTTGAGATAAGAGAATTAGCATCATTATATCTACTGCTATTGTAAAGACAAGACGGCCAAACATTTGCAGAAATATTTTTTGGATTACCCTCCTCCATCCCCAAACAGACTTTAACTGTACTTTAGGCCACCTCAAACTCATATGTGTACGTTTTTCAATGTAATTAATTTCTTTTAATATGTATATTATATTGTTAATTATATCCTATTTAGGCCAAATAATAGAATTTTGAGCCAATTCATATGTTTAAGGCCATATTTTTGAGGCCACCTACTTTGCCAAATTATATATGTTATGTAATAGTCTTATACTGGGAGACCAATTGTTATTGCATAATTGTATTATAATTTTTTTCAGGAATTGTGTTTTAAGGTTACATTGTCGCCCAGTCTTTTTTATTCAGTTTTATGTATTATATTATATGTTGTCATTTCATAATAAATGACATATTTTTGGAACAAATTAAACATGTCTTGGTTATTTGGCAAAAAACAAGCTCAATGTTGTCAGATGAGAGTTTAATTCAAGGAATGAAGGCTGAACTTAAAGAATATTTTGAAAACTTAAAGTCGAATGAAAATCGAACAAAAACGATACCCTTTTAAACTTGATCAATTCCTCAAGTAAATGTTGGCTGCATGAATATAAATTAAAACCAGACACATGCATCACTTAAATATTTAAAAAAATGTATTTCACTTTAAGAATATAAAACACGATCTGTGTATAGTACGTTTTTATGCGACAAGTAATATTCCATGTTCTAAAAAAAGGGACCTGTCATTTATTCGATAGTAAATGATAAGCAACTTTATATATTAAATGTGAAAAACATATATATATTTACAGATTCACTTTATGGAAGTAAATATATTACGTATATCGTAATTTATAAAATGAAAGAACATTGTGATTAACAATATTTATAATGTTAAGAAAACTTTTAATTCCGAATAACTTGAATGTCTAGAGCAGCCCGGTCCTCCGGGCTGCAATAAATAAAAGACTTTCTTACGCCTTTACGCTGTTACGATAAGAATAATTATGATTCTTTTAATATGAAACAGATAGAAATCTATTTTTCAGAGATGGCAATGGGAATCAGAATTGGCAATCGGTTATTCGTAAGATGTTTAAACCAATTGACCAGGTAATCGTAACCGATAATTTTGATATGTTTCACAATTGTAAATATTACCGATAGTAACAAGACTTTGAAGATGTTGCGTGAAATAATAAATTATTACTGAGTATGCTAATATTTGAGATATTTTATTTCAAATTTCAACTGCTAAGAGAACTGACAAAAAATAAGGACAGAAACCAATGTTTGAAGTCTCAAACATTTTCGCAATACAAAATAATCAGAAGAGGCGTCAGACAATGATCATTCTGTATTGTACATGTATATAGAAAACTAAGTTTGAAATTACGCTAAATTTGCTATCTTTGTTTAATATTATATCTTAAATACGAATATGTAATATTCTTGTGTAATAACATAATTTGATAGGAACACATTAGTACAAGTTATGGAAAAGGTAACGTACTCATTATAATTTATTCACAGAACTCAACTATAAGCATGGAACAGGGTAGACATACATAAATAGCGATATATTGTTTTTCTAAATCTCGTAGTGACCAACTACCCGAGTGGTCTAGTCAGTAGAAATATATTTATATGAAAACTAGCGAATATTCCCTAATATTTCAGTTATTTTTTGAATTTTTATAATTGAAATTGTGTTGAAATTTACACATTTACTAATTTCAATCGTTTACAGATTTTGTAACCGATTGCCATTGTTCCGACCGAGTAACAGGTTAACCGATTAACATAAAAGATTATTTCAAAATAATTTTTCAATGAAAAATGAAAATAAACTAATTAATTATCAAATGAATCAAACAAATTTGATTTATTGCATATTATGTTCTTACCGTGAATAAATGCATTCAATGTCCGCATCAAAACATCTTAAATCCGTATTAATCGTCAAACACTTAGGAACTATTAAAAAAGTAAATGATAATGCATATTTTAGGAAGAGAAAAGAGGTCATTTAGCAAACATTTTATCTAAAAGATAACCATAACGATGAGTGATCAATTAAATAAAACATATAAGCAATAAACATATATGAAGAGGGCATAAAAGTCGAACCACATGAAATTCTTGAGAAGGGATCAGGTGCAAAGGGAGAGTAAACCCCTTTTGTTTGACGGCCATATCTGCGAGCCCTATGGATTGATCAGGTTGTCAATTCAGTATAAAAACAAAGGTCTTACACTCGGTATAAAACAATTCATCTAAAATACGACTCAATAATAGATTATATTTGCTAACGCACTCATTATAATGACAATAAGATTTATGAAAGGCCGAACGGTTGTTGTTATCCATTAACCTCAACTTATTAGTGAGAAGCATGCCTTGCTTTAAAGTTTGATCGTACCCACAGCAAGCGCTTGAGTGACCAAGAAGTTGGTAGATGAATACTTAAAGATGTAACTGCTGAAGTCATCTTAGTTGTCGTGAAATTTAGTTTTTGGTAATTGGTCTTTATCGTCTATAGTCAGTAAAACATCCAAATATGAAACAAAAATGGCGGATTCTGTAACTTTTTAATAAAAATTCCCTCGTGTTTATTGTCTCGACATACAAAGAAACATGTATGCTGAAAATTTTTAAAAAGAAATGGCAAGGCCGTTTATAGTTTGAAATATATTTTATTCAATGAAATGGTTTGAACAGCAGGCATAAATGCCTATGATCGTTCTCTCTAAGGCCGTTTATTTTACATAGGATTGTCTACAGAATTTTGCGTTTGCACACAAATTCTGTGACTGGTCGACAGGGTACGCTCACTCCTCCATGACACCTCATCCAATTCATGGTACCTGATCCCACCTCTTATGTTTGAGGGACCGTTGTTTGCTTTAATGTTTTAAATTTTTAATTGTTTAAGAAGACTGTGTGGTTGAGGCAATTTTTATACAATTTTGCTCTTCTTTAGAAGAAAAACTCCATATAAATATATAATTGATGATTGATAGCTAAAAGATATCATATCTGAAAACTTAAATTATATATTATGGCTTATTTGTTGACCCTTTATACCCCTTCATCGATCTTTCAGCCTAATTACTGTTTGTATTCTTCATATTTAATGAGAAATAATCATCCAAAACCGCCTCAATTGATACGTTTAAATTAAATTGTTTCGTACAATTTTTTTTTTCACAGAACGTAATGTTCATTCGTGTCAAATTTTAAATGCCTTCTTGTTAACTAAGATGGTGACTTACATTTATAAAGTTCATTGCTGAAGTAAAATCTGTCCGGACAACCACTAGAAAAAGCTTTGGCGCACGGGACATGATTTAAGATCCCATCTGCCGCCAACTCTAGGCAATTTCCTGAAAAAAGTAAGGTTTGCGTATCGTAATTCAAGATTCTTTTATTTCAATTTGTGGTGTATGTAGCTTTGTACATTTTTTTCAGTCATATCAATCCATTTGTGTAAACAAGTATATAAAATAACAGCAATATTTTTGTGTAAAATAGCTTTCTTAATGACGATTTATCAAATTGCGTCTTCCCTTCCATCTAAGAATAACATAATGAAGATTAATCTCAGTAACTAATTTTCAAAATGTATATACGAAGGTTGTCCAATAAGTTCTTTTTTTTATTAAAATAAATGCTTCTATATATATCATTTGTATATCAAAATACTTCTTATGAAAAACCAAGTCAGAAAGATTTCATTTTTATTAATGTAACTTTATATTTTTGTAAAAATCGGGGTCTTTAAAGAGCACAGATAGTGCGCACAGACCTAGGTTATAATGCGAAAGTGTTTGGATTAAACTGAGTATTTTTTTTTTAAAAATATAAAACAAGTCAAAGCTTAAAAATTATGTGTAACACAAACAAAGAGGCTATAATCATTTTTTGACATCTTAGGTATCGGTTAGTACATAGACAATGGAAAACTGAGGAAAATCCCTGAAATGTGTCAAAACTCGATTAAAAAAGCGACGTCGGCCCTCCGAACGGGACAGCGTTAAATCAAAAATTATGTTTTAATAAGGTTGAAACGGCGTCAGAGACAAAATATTTGTTCAAAGAGAACTCAAAGTTATTAGAATAAATTAAGTTTATTGATTTGAGATAGGTACATACGATTTTTTCAACAATAGTACGAATTCAAAAACACTACAAGAATTTGAAAACAAATGTTTTTTCATGAAATTGTATATTTTTGTTCATGGCGTTGTTATAAGTCCAATGCAGCCTGTGTGTACGAATAGTTTTTATTGATGACGCTCATAAATTATTATGTATTGTTTTGAATTTTAAAAATTATATAATTATAATCTATATTTAAAAGATATTGATAGCACTTTGCAGTGTGACATAATGATAAAAATGTAGTGTGTGTCCATGAACATGTATAAAAAAAATCAATATCCAAATGCTTGACGTAAAAATGAAATTAGCTTAACGTCAGACTGGTCCGTGCAAACTATCTGCGACCCTAAAAGACCCCAATTTTTTACAAAAATATAAAGTTCCATCTTTAAAAATGAAATCTTTCAGACTTAATTTTTAATAAAAAGTATTTGATATACATTAAATATGTATAAAACCAGTAATTTTAACAAAAACGTCATTGTCCACGAACTTATTGGACAACCCTTGTATGTCGCCCAATTGGCACAGTCGTTAGAGCGTTTGTATTAGAGTCGCCAAGTAAGGAATTTATCCTTACGTCGCGTGTTCGAATCCACAGCGTGACTATGAGATTTGTGCTTCGGTAAGACTGACTAAACCAAGGTCCCGTGTCCAAGTTGTTGTTGGCACGAAAAGGATCCCTCTTCACTCAATGGCACTGATGAGTGTTGAGCTTAGATTAAAATTTGCAGCTGTCCACAATTTACATATTCTTCACGTTGGCCCAGCTTTACATATTAACTCATTTCTTCCCTTTCTCTCTCACTCTCTCGCTATACATATAAATTTATATAACATATGAACCTTTTTCAAATGGCAATCTATAGCCTTGTGGATAACAAAATTCAATGAGTGATGTAAAATATTTATCAGGAACGCAGTGGTATCCATGAGTAGTGTTACATTTCAAGCGAGTTGATGCCATGTCCCATTCCTCTTTACTCATCGGACAATTTTCTACAGGAAGCACTTTAAATAAAAAATGATGACCCTGAAAAAATGTAAATTTATTTTTAATTTCAACATAAATATAAAATCACGTATATTAGCAACTTCGATGTAACTTAATGACTAGATTCCATGACTTTGTTTTGTTTGTTTTTCTCATTTATGCTAAGCTTTTTAAAGCATTTTAAAATTCTGCAGTTGAAGCAATCACATTTTTCACACTTTTCTGAATTGAAGAAATTATTGGATTGGTACATAACTTGGTAACAGATTATACTTATTTTTTCAATTAAAAGAACTTTACATTTATTATATATTTCAAATATATATTTACTTACTGATGGTGCAGAAGCTGTATCGAAAATGAACACGATAAAAACACAAATGGTGCCGAAGACTCCGTATTTTTGATATATACACTTTAACATCTACAAAAGAGAAAGTCGTCGAAGAAATCATCAATACTATTTTCATACATTGTCCTATTATTATCTATCAAGTGTAAAAAATATAGAATTAAAGGAATCGCTGTCTAGTTAGTATAGTATGCCAGGGAATCAACGATAGTGCGAAACGTGGGATAATTTGGATAAGTAATTTGCATAAATTACTAGTATACATATATAAAGAGGAAGGTCAACATTACCGCTACATCGCCAAAAATTTCAACTCATTACCGCTACATTTTTTCAAAGAAAGTGGGCGCTTTAGATGGCGATTCGGCAGGAATAGTGGCTCATAAAAAGAATAAAAAAATATCATTGATTTATACATTTTTTTCAAAACCTAACCAATAACTATGTTGTAGGTAGTAAAATGGGCAAATTTTCAATTAAATATGTTTGTTTTTATTTGAATATGCACCTGAATATGGCCATATCAGTCAAATGATGCAAAAATTGACTCTTTTATAACCATTTTTCTTTAATTTTGTTGTTTCTGGGTCTTCTCTCTATGAATTTTAAATGCTTTATCAGTGTATTTTTAACCGTTAAATTTATTCATGTTGTTTAAAAAATGGAGAGACGACCCAGAAATACCAAAATCTAAACTTTTTACGTTTATTTTTTTGGTAGAAAATTGACAAAGTCCAAATGTATAGGGCTTTGGCTTTAAATAATGATTTAAATACTAACTATATATAGTGTTCCGCGGTAGCTACATCGGTTTGTCGCTGGAATCGAGCCATATCGAAGCATTATTTTAGGTTCGAATACAGTGATTTCTTTTCTTTTATTTTTCTTTGAGCTTGAGATTTTTGAATTTTAAATACTCATTGAGTAGCAAATTATGTTTTATAAATTATTTTACATTGTTTTATTTTTAAATGCGTGTACATTTTGTCTTTTATAGTGCTAACGGTCTCAAATGGAAATAAACAGACATGAACTTGTAACTACAAAGTTACACCTGATGAAATAATATTGAATATATTTAAAAAAGAATAGCAACTTCGATCGTTCTGTTTCATTCAATATTTTCAGTGTTTTTGAAAACTGAGCACAAGAAATATTTAGTGTTTGACTTCTATTAGAGTGTGTATTCTATTACATGGAAATGTACAGCTGATGTATCCAGCATACTGCATACTATATAATTATATATTAGATAATTTATCTTTCTTGACACCTTTTAATTGAAAAAATATTTACAAATAAACAAACATAAGACAGAAATCCATTCCCATGCAGTTTATATAAGATGTATAGGATACGCAATAAAACTACATGGTGCTTGGACATTTAAATCTGAATTGTTTCGTGTCAATGATTCCTGCCGACTGCCCATCTAGTGCGCCCACTTTCTTTTCGACCGATCGTTACCGCTACATTTTTTTCAGTCGAAAACAACTCATTACCGCTACACATTGAATGCAGGTACGGATTATAAGTTCCAATCACAAAGCCTTAACGAAGAATTCAGCACGATGTTTAACAGTTCTCATACTAAAATTTTTGAATTTTTGGGAATGTTGACAGAAGTTAAATATATGGCAGTAGTGTGAAATAAAACGTTAGGTCTTAGTCAGATGTTTCCAGCGTTAAAAATTCACGTAATTGGTCAACTCATATTAGCAACATTGAAATGGAAAAAGTGTGTTGCACGAGCAACCAATCAGAGATAAGAAGAAAGTTCCAGTCGTAAAGCTTGCGGTTAGGAGGCGTGTACAATTTACCTTGAGGGCAGCTGTCAACTAGATCGTGATGTAAGGTAAAACTTCACACTTAACTGCAAACTATAATATTTTGGAGTTACAGGCTTTGTATTTCAGGGGATATATACTAAGCTCGCTATGCATAAATTATTCCATGTATCCCACTATCATTAAAGTCCCTTGCATACTCTACTAACTGGACAGTGATTCCTTATTTTTCCATTTCATCGTGAAATAAAAAACGACAGATTTAGACTTTGTAGACTAATAGATTTTAATTACACGAGGACTCCCATGCCAATTTCAATAGTCCTCGCCCACTGACGTCAAACACAAAGGCAGCCGTACAAGATTTACATTTGGCCTCCTTAGAGCCAGAAACAGAGACAGATGCGCACGAGATTTGCATGCTCATTACGCCCCCTTTGCTCCTGACCTAACGACCTGTCTAACGTACATTCCCGTAGAATGATCAAGAAATGAACTCCGTTAACTTTCAAAGAATTATCACAGAGGACATAAATTAGAAATAGAAATATATGGAAATATTGCTCGTGTTAAGACGAATAACGACCCCACTAGAATAAGGACAGGAGGTCATTTTTCGATTGAGAAAAATGATACCCGGTCATTATTCAACGTCGAAAAAGGACCCTTTTGCCCGTAGAAAAAATGCCATCATCCAAAAAATCTGCGTACCTCACGTGAAGAAAAAATGACCCACATAGAATAATGACCACTCTTCATTTCGATTTACCGGTCACGGTAACCTAGTGGTAGAGCGTTCGCTTCGTGTTCGGGAGGTCCAGGTTCGATTCTCGTTTTCGCGGCGCCGCGTCATACCTAAGACGTAAACAAAGGTAGTGACTGTTCCTTTGCTAAGCGCTCGGCACTAGAAGTGAAAGTCAAGGGTCTTTCGCATATGACCTTAAAAACGTAGGTCCCGTGTCACGGTAGGCGCTGGCACGATAAAGAACCCTCACTGCTCAATGGCCCTGAGTGCCGAGTATAGGTCTAAATTTGAAGCCCTTCACCGGTATACGGTGACGTCTCCATATGAGTGAAAAATTCTCAAGAGGGATGTTAAACATCATACAATCAATCAATCAATCATTTCGATTTTAATTAAAAGTTTAGGTGGCCAAAAATAAAATAAATAAATAGATCTATGCACCAAAATGCTCACCTGAGCAAAATTTGGAAATAAACTGATGATATATTGATCTCAGTCAATTACACAATCTTCGCTATTTTAAGGTAATTGCGATTATTCAAAATCTAAAGGAGTAAACGATTTATCGAGCCCAATTTACTCGGTGAACATTGATTTTCGATGGAGGCAAAACATCGAACTGACAGAAAAATTCTTGGAATATTTTAAATAAGTGTAACCCCCCTCGCTTGAAAAGCAGGAGGTTATATTCTGATCAGGATGTCCGTCCGTTACGCTTTGGGGTACCCATTCCTCATACCGCTGAATGAAATTTAATGAGACTTTCACATATTCTCTGTTACATAATGTCATTGTACATCTCCTTCTATATACCTTTTGATCAGACACATATTTTGGATCTCCCATTGCAAAACATGGATAACTGTCACATTTGTATAAAATTGAGGAGTATCCATTTCTTATCCGCAACTTCTCCCATATCACTGAATCAAATTAATTGATACTTTTGCATTTTATTAAATTACATAATGCCATTTTCACCTCTTCCAGGTATTTTACTTTTTGATCTGACGCTCATTTCGTTTTTCCCAGAGCAAAGCATGGACTTTGCTTTTATAATCAAATAAGAGGCGGAGATTACTAGTACATTGTATCACTTTATGAGCTTATTGGTCAGAGTGCCTCTAATTTAAATATTGTTTATTCCACCCTTTTACTCAGAACACATATTTTATTTTGTAACGTTTTCTTCATTCTGAAGCAAAATGTGAAAAATTTATTGAAAATCATTCCTTTTTATCATGTTTACTTTGCACTTGTATACCTGTTTATCTTCTTTGTTTGATAACTCTGAGAATTAAAGATGTGAAGCATGCATATCACATCTTTTTAAAAATAATTTCTCCTATAAATTCGGTGTGAAAAATAATTTTAAAAGATAAAGTGTTGCATTTTTTGGGCCGATTTGATGCTTTGCATCGCCTTAAATCTGTAAGTTTGGTATAATTCTAAAAAATGGTCATTTTCAACAGGAGTCAATTTTTTACAGGACTCACATATAAAATAATGACTCCTGAGGCTCTTTAAAAATGATTTTTTTTCTACGGCTGGGGTGTCGTTTATTTTTTGTCGCTGAAAAATGACCCCAGACATTATTCGAAGATGGTAATCCTGATTGAACGAGTTTTAAATACTCGGATATACTTGTTTCTAATAATAGATTATGTGATTTGCTGTAGCAATCGGTGAATACTCCGATTCACTGGTGATTTCTTATAATAGATATTTTATAATTTGACAATATTCCTTTCAAAAGTAATTATATTTTGAATAAAACTTTTATGGACAAAAATATAACATCGATCCATACTGCATAGGTGGAAAGAGTAAAAATGTGAATTACTTTCAAGGTTGATGGTTTGATAAATTCGTGTTTAATACACAAGTAAAATTTCAATATATGCACCAACTGAAATAAAGAAAGTAGAAATAATCATGTAAGGATGCTATAAAATACCAGGTAGTAATAAAAATAGTTTATGTCGATATATGTGTTGTTGTCGTGCGTTTAAATGCACACAAATACAAAAGACCTTTAAAGAAATAAATCAATTGTTCAATGCTTCACAGATTCCTTATTACATTGTACATATAACCATTGTGACCTCCTATTTTACTTTTTGATCCGACACTTATTTCGAGTCTCCCAGATCAAACAATTGACTTTGCCATTATACCCTTATCGAGGGCAAGGGGTACCATTAGTGAGCTCATTGCTCACAGTACTACTAGTTGTCATTGCGTCGATCAGATAATTCTTTGCTGAAGCATTCAGACTTCTCAATTAGGCATTTTGATACTTGTGGCACTTGTATTTGATTCAATAATTCTATGATAATACTACCCTATCTTCATTCTCGCAAACGAGTGCCTGAGTCAATACGTTACTGTTGGACCAACGGCAAAGTTTTGATTCAGACTTCTAGCTTGCCAGGAGTCCTATTTATATGAATTTATCTTCTTCGTTTTATTACTCTGAAAATTAAAGATATGTAGCATGCATAGTACATTTAAAAAATGTACTCAAAATTTTTCCTATA